TTAGCAGAAAAAAAAGATTCCCCACACCTAACTTATATGAACTTATACATTTTACAATGTGGCTATATTTATGGTCATCTTGCCTAAAAATTTCCATGGTTAGTAAATACCCAACACATACACTATATTGCCAGAGCATATTGCAAAGTTATAAAACTTAACAGTTGTACTGACTTACACAGCATAAAATGTATTACAGCTTCAAATTTAATATTTCTCAATTACAAAGAAGTTTAAAAAAAAACAAAAGAAACTGCATATATAAAACGCAACACTTACATTCACTAAAACTTTAAAAAGAACAGAAAAAAAAAAAAAAACAAGATTCATTAAAAAAAAATTTCTTAAGGATGAACCCATCCCTAACCTTCCTCAAAGTCCATCCTGGAATTAAATGCATCAAACTGAATCCCACAGACCACTTTTATAAATTACTTTGTGCCCAGAGGAAAGATGCTGCTAAAAATGTAAAATTCTTTCTTTATGAAAACCCATAAAAAACACTCTAGAGAGGATGTGAGAAAGAATCCTGTGGCCAGCACTGTGGCCTAACAGGTAAGGATACCTGTTCAAGTCCTGGCTGCTCCACTTCTTTTATTTTAAGATTTATTCATTTATTTTAATTAGAAAGTCAGATTCATAGAGAGAAGTAGATTCAGAGAGGAAGATCTTTGTTCATTGATTTACTCTCCAAGTGGCCATAATGGCCAGAGCAGAGCCAATCCAAAGCCAGGAGCCAGGAGCCCCCTCTGAATTTCCCATGCAGGTATAGAGTCCCAAGGCTTTGGGACATCCTCTACTGCTTTTCCAAGCCACAAGCAGTAAACCAGCTGGGAACTGGATCAGCCTGAATACAAACCAGTGCCCACATGGCATCCTGGCACATACAACACAACTACTTTAGCCACTAGGCTGCCATGCCAGCCCTGGCTGCTCCATTTCTGATGCAACAGCCTCATAAGGTACCTGGGAAAGCATCAGAAGATGGAAAAATGTCTGGGCCCCTGGACCCCTTTGGGAGACCTAGAAGAAGCTCCTGGTTCTGCATTCCCACTGGCTCAGTGTCCATCACTGTGACGATTTGCAAGTGAGCCAGGAGATGATTCTCTGTTTCTCTATTTCTCTCTGTCTCTCTCCGTCCCTCTCTTTGTAATTCTGCCTTTAATCACATAAACAAATTTTTAAAAGCAATCTTTTCCCAAAGTTTGTTTTACTTTGGAAATTAAATCTTATAAGTGCTTGTGTTTCTTTTTCACTATTAGCTTCCTGAAAGCTCAGAATCAACTTTGTGACTCAGCTTCCAACTATGTAGAACAAAATTAGTAATTATCAGCCTGTGATAGCTTGTTAAGTGGTAGGCACTATGCCAAATTATTATCTCATTTGCTCCTTGCAACAACTGTGAGCTGCTACAGTAAAGAAACTGAACCTTAACAAAGATAAGAACAACTACTATAATGTGCTGTTTTACATTTATTAACACATTTACTCCATATAATCCTTTGAAATATTCATATTTTTAAAGGCTTATTGCATTTTACTGTTGAAAATAAAGAAACAGGTTAAAGACACATAATAACAAAGTGGTTGGACAAATATTTGAAGGCAGAGTCTAGCTGCAAGACTCTGTCACAAGCACTGTACTATGACCTTTCCCCAAATGAATCAGCCTGCAAATGACAAGGCAGGTAATTGTTGCTGAAATACAGCTTGAACTCACGTCTTCCTATCCCTCCATTTATTGAAAGAAAGAAAGAAAGAAAGAAAGAAAGAAAGAAAGAAAGAGAGAGAGAGAGAGAGAGAAAGGAATGAAGGAAGGAAGGAAGGAAGGAAGTACTACTTGGCTGACACTGTGGCTCAGCAAGCTAATCCTCTAGCTTCAAACCCTGGCATCCCATATGGGTGCCAGCTGAGGTCCCTAAAGCTCCACTTCTCCTCCAGTTCCCCTGCTTTGGCCTAGGAAAGCAGCAGAGGCTGGTTCAAAGCCTTGGGCCTCTACACTCATGTAGGAGACCCAGAGAAGATTCCTAGTTCCTGGCTCCTGACTCCAGATCACATCAGCTCAGCCCTAGCCATTGTGGCCATTTGGGGAGTGAACATTTTCCGTCTGTCTCTACCTCTCTATAAAACCTACCATTCCAATAAAAATAAATAAATTTTAAAATAAACAAATAAATAAGCACTACACCACTGAACACCTATAATTTTAAGCTAATCATACACACTATTTATCCTAAAAGTATGAATGGATTTGGAGATGTCTGGTAGTTTGTCTAATGCCTCATAACCACTAAAATTCTGAAGTGGAAATCGAACAGAAGTTCATAAGGCAAGCTCATTCCTACCTCCATGTCAGATCCTCAGTTTTATTTGTGTTGTTTAACCCGTTTCAATGTATTTTATCTTGTACAGTTGTATATATCTGGTAAATTAAATCTTTGTTCGATCAAAATCAAATATAGATGGCAAAGAAAACTTCAAATATTCGCTAGATTGGTTTTATTCAAGTTCTACTAGGTCCTATGAAATCAAACCCAAAGTAAATAGATTACTTTTTCAACAAATTAATTCCACAGACATCACAAAAGTTCAGGGTTGAAAATCTTAAAAATTAACAAGACAATGGTCTCATTTTATAAATAAGGAAAGTCCAACAAAGTTATCAGAGATCACAGAACAAGTTGGGAGAGCCTGAGTTCAACTGACCATATCATTATTTAGTAAAACATGAAAACTAAGCATGATTAATAAATAAAATTAAAATTCTTCGAAACCTATGAACACTCTATCTCATTTAACTTTTTACAAGATAGACTATTCAAGCAGACAAGAATGATACTGAATATACAATTTCTTCTATATGAGCTCCTAAGACATTTACCATGAAATATTTTAAAAGTGTTAGACAAAGTAATATCTGTTCATTCAATTTAAACTTCATTTAAACTCATTTATTGTCAAATTGATTGAAATGCAACTTACAAAATGAATGAGTTCAACAAGTCTTTTTTTAATTATAAACTATTTTTATTTTTTATGATTTTTACATAGTTAATTCGGGTGCAAAGTGTCAAAGGCTACAGGAGGGTGGATGAGATCTCCATTTTCACAATCTCTTTTTTCTTCCTGTATCTGACAGAAGCGGGGAGACAAGGAGACAAGCCACACCCAGCCTCCCAAATGCCTCTGTACCCCGGGATGGAGGGTAGCCACGTGACACCATCCCAGGGTCCCCAATGTGGAGTATGCTCCGAGGGTCCTGCTCATGAGGTTTCAATAGTCTGACAGTTCTGAACATATACATACACTCTACAACTCCTGCCCCTCAAGGTGCACAACATCTCTACCACTATACTCATTACCTTCCCATCTTCTACTCCAGACAGAATACTAAGATTTTATTTTCAGTATACTCGGTATTACCTGTTCTAAAATTTCATATCAATGGAATGATGAAGTACGTATTTTCTGATTTTTAATGCTTTTGCTAAACACAATACTTCTGAGACAAACCCTGAGTAGGATTCATGCTATGAATATATTGTAATTTGCACAATTAAAAGACGTTTAGTTGTTTCTAATTCACAGAGCTGCTATCAAACTTTGTATGTATGCCATTACATGGATGTATGTTTTCACATCTTCTCAAGGCAAACATCTACCATGAGAACTGCTGGGTGACATGATAAGTATACATTTAAGAAATTGCCAGGCCCGGCGTGGTAGCTTTGTGGCTAAAGTCCTTGCCTTGCATTTGCAAGGTTCCCATATGGTCGCCGGTTCTAACTCAGCGATCCCATTTCCCATCCAGCTACCTGGCTGTGCCTGGAAAGCAGTCGAGAACAGTCCAAACCTTGGAAACCTCCACCCATGTGGGAGACCCAGAAGACGCTCCTGGCTTTGGAACGTCACAGCTCTGGCTGTTGCGGCCATTTGGGGAATGAATCAGTGGACAGAAGACCTTCCTCTCTGTCTCTCCTCCTCTCTGTATATCTAACTTTCCAATAAAAATAAAATAAATCTTTTTTAAAAAAAGGAATTGCCAAATTGTTTTCCAAGGTGGAAACTGCTCTCACCAGTAATGCAAAACAGTCTTGTTGCTCCACACTCTTATGGGCATGTGACAACTTCAGTTTTCTTCATTTCTTCATTGAACCCATTATGATTTACTATGGCTGTTATTTGTATTTCAATAATGATTAATGTTAAACACCTTTTCATGCACGGATTGGACTACTATATATTGTCTTCTATGACCTATGTTCACATTTTTTGCCCATTTTTAATGGAACTGCTTCGGACCTTCTCACTCTCATTTCCTTTCGCAGATACATGTATTGTGAATATTTTCCTCAGTTTGATTTACCTCTTCGTTTCTGAAATTACATCTTTTGAAAAACAGTGTTTCAATTGTCGCAAACCCTAATTTATAATTATTTTCTTTTACGGATAGTGTTTCCGTATTTTGAGCAAGTTTAATCTACTCTCGAATTGACAAGACATTCTCCAACATTTTCTTATACAAGTTGTTGTATTTTTGGCTTTTGTTGAAATCTACATTCTACCTCTAGGACGATTTTCCGAATGCACATGAGAAAAAAGGTTAATCTTTTTTCATAATACCAAATAAAGGAACATTCTACACAACTTTTTAAGATGCGCTCAATTTATTTTTAAACTTACAGCCCATCTTACTACCTGCCTGCAAAGTAACTTACAGCTCGCATGATTAGAGAGAGATGAGTTGGCTTCACAATACAACTACACATAATCAGCAAAAACACATTAACGTCACCTAACCTAAGTATCTGCATAATGGCATTCAGATCTCCAGAACAAAGCATTGTCTCGGAGTTTTCATTGTGTTTCACTAAGTTTAGATCTGAAATGCGTGAGAAACAGCTCTGAAACCATCAGTAACTTCAACAGAAATGCAATGATTATCTTTAACATAAAGACCCATGCCTTCGGTACCACATCGTGAAGCTAGACAAGCTCACCTGAGTAGCTGCAGACGGACAGGAAGATGACGATGACGACGAGACAACAGGAATGTCAGACTGTACAGCAGCCACAGTGGTAGCGGGGGTGAAAATCAGCTGTACAGACAGAAAACCAAAAAAAATACCCTAAGACAGAAGAAGAACATGTCCCACACACAATGCAGAGCAGGCAAGAAAGACTGAAATTTGTGACAGAAAAACGATGCAGTTTAGACCGTCTCCTAAGCAAAAGCTGGTACATGACAAAAAGAAGTTTCTGGTAATAGAGAACTAAAAAAATAAATCTTTTTGAAACAGCTCATGATTCTAACAAGTAGAAAAACGGGATTGAAAAAAAGTATATTTTGGTGATTAAAAAAAAAAAAATCACCAGATAACATTTAACCTAATTAAGTTATTACACTTAATTTTTCAACAATTCAAAATACTTTGGCAAGTCCTAAAGTAGAAAGTTAAAATACAATTAACAGTTACTATTTTTGAGATGCATAATAAATTTAAGACACACAAAAAGATCTTTGTTTCTCTTCAACAGTAGGAAGACTACATACTATACTATACTAGCTTATGTTCCTCCTCATTTATCATAAAGAAATATTCTTTCTCCAAGTGTGTTTGTGCCCGTGCACGCAAGGGTGTGTGTGTACATCCTACATCAAAATTCAACACAAAAGGATTTAGTAAAAAGTTTCACATAAAGGGCCCAATGTGATGTTCAGCGGCTGAAGTCCTCAAATTTAACACACCGGGATCCCATATGCCGGCTGGTTCATGCCCCAGCTGCTCCACTTCCCACCCACCTCCCTGCTTGTGGCCTGGGAAAGCAGTGGAGGATGGCCTTGGGACCCTGCACCTGTGTGGGAGATCCAGAAGAGGCTCCTGGCTCCTAGCTTCAGAGTGACTCAGCTCCAGCCATTACAGCCACTTGGGGAGTCAATCTATCGATGGAAGATCTGTTTGTCTCTCTCTGTAAATCTGACTTTCCAATAAAAATAAAGAAATCATAAAAGAAAATGTTTCACATAGACTATTTACCACCATTTTTCAAATTTTTTAAAAATAATACAGGGCCCAGTGTGGTAGCCTAGTGGCTACAGTCCTCGCCTTGAACGCGTCAGGATTCCATATGGGTGCTAGTTCTAACCCAGCAGACCCGCTTCCCATCCAGCTCCCTGCTTCAGGCATGGGAAGGCAGTCGAGGACAGCCTTGGGACTCTGCACCTGCATACTCGGAAAATCTTCCTCTCTGTCTCTCCTTCTGCTCTCTGTATATTTGACTACCCGTAAAAAAATAAATCTTTAATAAAATAAAATAAAAATAATACAAATGGCATTAACTTATAAGATAATATAATCTCAGAATATATAGTTCAACTAAGTGAATTTCGGCAATTGTTGAAGAGAATAAGTAAAATATATTTCAAAATTTTATGAAGACTTAGTCAATTCTTCCTTCCTCTTCAAATAAGAAGGACCAATTCAGGGATCTTTTAAATTTCATCATCTGGGATTTTTGTTTGTTTGTTTGTTTGTTTGTTTACCAAACTTAAGTAAATTAAAAACTAAAATATAGCTTTCAGAAAAAGTAAGTGCCAGGACAAACCACCTGAAACTACTCAACTTTGAAGAAGCTGTTCCATTTACTTTGACAAATAAGAAACTGCTGATTTAAGAAAGGGTGCCAGTGCCGTGGCATTGCACATACAGCTGTCTCATGCAGCGTCAGCATCCCATACAGCCACCAGTCAGAGTCCTACTTGCTCCACTTCCAATCCAACTCCCTGCTACTGTATCTGGGAAAGTACAGAGAGATGGCCCAAGTGCTTGGGCCCCTGCGCCAACCTAGGGGACCCATAACAACCTCCTAACTAGTGGCTTTGGTTCAGTCTAGCCTTGGTCATTGTGGTCATTTGTGGAGTTAAGCCAGAAGATGGAAGATATTTCTGTCTATTGCCCCCCACCTCAATCTCTGAAACTCTTCAAATAAATCTCTTAAAAAGAAAAAAAAAAAGCATCAGCAACAACTCTATTGGCTCAAACTAAGAGTTAGGTAGGACCCAGAGCAACAGCCTAGTGGCTCAATCCTTGCATTGCATTTCCGAGATACCCATATGGATGCCAGGTTATGTCCCTGCTGCCCTGTTTCTCTACCAGCTACCTGCTTGTGACCTGGGGTAACAGTGGAAGAAGGCCCAAAGCCTTGGAACCATGCACCCACGTGCGAAACCCGGAGGAATCTCCTTCCTCCTGGCTTTGGATCAGCTCAGTTCCAGCCATTGTAGCCACTTGAGAAGTGAACCAGCGGACAGACGATCTTTGTCTCTCCTTCTCTCTGTAAGTCTGCCTTTCCAACAAAAATTTAAAAATAAATAAAAATTTTTTTAATTAAATAATATCATAGGAGAGAAGAATGTAATGGCAATTTCTACTGAATAATCTGTTAATAAAAGATGGATCATCTCGGGCCTGGCAGCATGGCCTAGTGGTTAAAGTCCTTGCCTTGAACGCACCAGGATCCCATGTGGGCGCCAGTTCTAATCCCAGCAGCTCCACTTCCCATCCAGCTCCCTGCTTGTGGCCTGGGAAAGCAGTCGAGGACGGCCCAAAGCTTTGGGACCCTGCACCCGTGTGGGAGATCTAGAAGTTCCTGTCTCCTGGCTTCGGATCGGCATAGCATCGACCGTTACGCTCACTTGGGGAGTGAATCATCAGATGGAAGATTTTCCTCTCTGTCTCTCCTCCTCTCTGTATATCTGACTTTCCAATAAATAAATAAGTCTTTAAAAAAAAAAAAGATAAAAAAGATGGATCATGTCTATTATTTCCTATTAGAAATAGAACTATAGACTTCCTTTCCAATTTTATATGGAAGAGCTGAGGACCCAGAAATATATTCAATTCACTTAACAAAAAAACAATACGCTATTTTTTAGCACCAGACACTTGTATAGTTTCCTGTAAATACTGCAGTAAAATATATGCCTATTTATTCCTTAAGAAATCAGTATCCAAATACAGGGGAAAAAAAAGTTATTAACATCCATATAATTTCTTTTTTTTTTTTTAAAAAGTAAATATAAGAATGCAAATAACTGGGCCACTGAGATGGCTCAACTGACCAATCCTCTAACTACAAGTGCCAGCATTCCATATGGAAGTCAGTTTGTGTTCTGGCTGCTCCACTTCCCATCCTGCTCCCTATTCTGGCCTTGGAAAGTAACAGAGGACGGCCAAGTTCTTGGGAGCCTGCACCCTCATGGGAGATCCAGAAGAAGTTCCTGGCTCCTGGCTTTGGATCAGCTCATTTCCGGTCATTGCTGCCATTTGGAGAATAAATCAGCAGACTGAAGATCTTTCTCTCTGTATCTCCTCCTCTCTGAAAATCTGCCTTTCCAATGAAAATAAAAATAAATCTTAAAAAAATGTAAATAACCTTATAGAATTTGAGATGAGAAAAACTAGAGCTGAAAATCATATGTGAATTGTCAGAAACTTGACTCCCAATTTCAAAAGATCCTGGGATATAAATTCTAAGACATTGAACAACGCAGTTTTTTTAAAATATTGTTTCACCAAACTTAAGACATCAAGAAGTTATTTTATACATTATAATAAACGCCAAGTATAATAGTAAGAAGGCTTCAAGTATTAAATGCACCCCAACGGAAGACATTAAAAGGTGAAAAAGTTATCATTGATAAAATATAACATTTAAAAATAATCACTGTTAGAGAATCTCTTGGTTTTCCAATGTTGATGATTACTACTTTACACGAAGAAGACCTACTGATTTCAAGTAGGTTTTCGATACATAAAGGCACAAGAGCTAAGCATATTGGCATACAAAGTATTAAGCATTTCTTAAATATTAAAAATAGCTAAATCAAGATATCTTAGTCTCGAACACTGCAAACACGTGGCAGTTCATATCTTACCATCTGAGCTCGGAGGTACATCTGAGCCTGGCTTGCCGTTAGAGTAGGGGAGGTACTCCCTAGTAACATTGTCTGCTGGGTAATGCTGCCGCTGGGAGAACTGGAAGCCTGGGAACGGCTTAGCAGTTGTGCAGGTGTAGGAGAAGTGGAGAGGTTGATCTAAGGAAAAAAACACAGTGGGTCTTAGGCCTCCAATTCCTGCCCCCACAGACCTACGTTTTTCCAATCAGCAGTTAGTAAATGAATGGTATGAACTACAGCTAAGGAACTCAAATGAGAGGTTTTTATCTTCACAAATTCCCCTCACTTTGGGGGGCAATTATGTGTGCATATGCAACAATAACAAGGACAAGGTACTAACTAGAACAATTTTTTAAGAGTATCCATGAGTTTCAAAGATTTAATACATTAAAATATATCTGCACTAACTTCAAAAAACATGAGCGCTATAGTTTCTTTATCACAGGGCAGCTTAAAACGTCAAAATAATAGTTTACACTATTTGTTATACTCTGTAATATTTTTAGGTTTATGAAGTGCAAAATATTAAGCAATCCATTTACATATAAATAAATACACAAATCATAATTAATGCAAAGTTCTAATTCAAAAGCTTTCCGAGCAGTGGAAAATACAATTGTTACTTGTCATGGAAAAAGCTTCAATGACTACAAAATTATAAACACTATTTCAAAGTTTAAACTTACTGTGTAAAAAATGTCCCTGGTAGGTGTCCAGGAGAATACATGAGAAACTGGTAACAGACTGATTACATGTGTGAACGGACACTGGGATACAGTGGACACGGCAAAGAGAGAAATGTACATTCTTTTTTATCTTTCCAGCTTCAGACTACATGTACATGAGTCATTTTAAAAGTAGGTAATATTTTCAAAAATAATATCATCTGACCTCAAATCCTTTTTGTAGAAAATAAATCAAGAAAAAATTTAGTAACTATAACTCAAGCAATAAGACTATACTAATACATCCTCATGCCCAAATATACTCACTAAAATGTCAGATCAATATGAAAAATTAGAATATTTAGTTGGACGCAAAAAGAGAGAACAACGGCCAGGTGACAGAACGGAAGAAGTCAAGGCCAGAGATAAGCTCGAGCTCACACTAGTGGACCTAGAGAGAGAACATCCAACGCGGAGCTTCCTTCAAAGTAAAGCCCCTATTTTGAATAAAGGGCCGGAACAGGTTGCATCACAGTGAGAAAAGACAGCTGGCAAATTTCTACCCACACACTCCAAGAGGCAGCAAGCATGCATTTGCCCTGATCCTCCTGAATAGGACCAAGAGAGACTTCTGCCAAATATCAGGCTGTGCCATGCAATTTACACTTCTTGTGTGGTTTCATAATCCACCCCAACACACTCATATCTGAGGTCCAGGTCCCAGGAGACTGCAGGAATCACTCACCTCACGAAAATGTCAAACTGAGCAACCACAGAATGACCTTCACCAGAACCAAGGGAACCAGGTAAGATCACAGTACCAGGTTGCAGCAGAGCAACAAAACAAGACATACCCAACAGGGTAAGATGAGTCATTTTCTCAATAAGACTTTATTGATTTGGAAGGCAGAGCAACAGAGAGCAGAAGAGATAAAGACAGAAATGAGATCTATTGTTCATAGACACTCTCTGGCTCACTCCCTAAATGGCCACAACAGCTGGGGCTAAGTCAGGCTGAAGTCAGGAGCCTGGAGCTTCAGCCTAGTTTCCCTCTGGGGTCATCCTTCTCTACCTTCCCAGGGGCATTAGCCAGGCACTGCATCAGAAGCTGAAGCAGCAGGGACGCTAACTGGTGCTCAAATATGGCATGCTCATGATGCAAGCAGCGACTTAATTCACTTAGTCATAAGGAAAGCCCCTCAAGGACAGTTTTACTGCCATCACCTCTTCCTCAATCCCAGGCAGCACAACACAGAGGTATTGTCTGCTTAGGACAAAGGGAACAAAGCAAGTATAGAACTGTACCTTGGGGGCCCGGCACAACAGTGTAGCAGTTAAGGTCCTTGCCTTGCATGCCCTGGACCCCATAGGGATGCTGGATCTAATCCCAGCGGCCCCATTTCCCATCCAGCTCCCTACTGGTGGCCTGGGAAAGCAGTCAAGGACGGCCCAAAGCCTTGGGACCCTGCACCCGCGTGGGAGACCTGAAGAGCTCCCTGGTTCCTGGCTTCAGATCGGCTCAGCTCCAGCCATTGCAATCACTTGGGGAGCGAATCATCAGACGGAAGATCTTCCTCTCTGTCTCTCCTCCTCTCTGTATACCTGACTTGCCAATAAAAAATAAATAAATCTTTAAAAAAAAAAAAAAAAGAACTGTACCTTGGACCCCAACATCAGGGCACCTTTGCAAAAGCCAGCACCAGGCAAATCTTAATAGCCTCTAATTCCAGACCAGTATATGAAAAACTGAACTTTTGCAGGGGTAGGGAATCTTATTTCTGCCAAGGGCTATTTGGATATTTGTATCATTCACAGGCCACACAAAATTATCAACTTCAAAATAGGTCAGCTATAAGTTAACTGAATTTTAAGTCCTGCCTACAGATGCCTTGGCAAGGGCCAGACCAAATTATTTTGCAGGCCTTATCATTGCCTACGCCTGCCAGAACCAAACAGAAACAACAGGCCCTCTCAGATGGACTTGAGTTCAAACCTGTTTCACCACGGGCCAACTATACCAAACTTGGGCTTCAGACAAATCTTGATAGCAAGCAAGTGGTTTGGGAATTAAAAGTAGCTCTGTGCTGCACCAACCTCACCGCAGGATTCCAGCACAGTGTTGAGCCAGCTTCACAGGCCATGGGATTCCAGGCAGGCCTGTGCCAGCCTGTGGCAGCCTCAAGTTTACGACACCCCCTAACATTACACAGCTGTTGCACTCAATAACTACATGGATGTTTCCAAAGGCAGACTAGAAAGACCACAACAAGCACCTATTTCTTCAATACATGTAAATAAACAACTAAAAAATCAAAAACGATTAGGGAAATACGACATCACCAGTCAAACAGGGTACTCATGACTGACCTGAAATAGAAATGCCTGAATAACCTGACCAAAAAAAAAAAAAAAAGAGGAGGGGTCTTTTTTATATATAATTTTATTTTTGATGTTGTTTGCATAGCTGACAAGGATGCACACCCATGAGGACCAGTGCTTAGGGTGGGGAGGGTCAAGGCCTGGGGGAAGGTGGATGGGATAAATAGTTCCAATTTCCCTTTTCTCCTATATCTGGTGGAGGGGACGGGGCAAGAGAAAGAGAGCTGTTTCTAGTTCCCAGGGATGTCCACTTGATGTCATCTGAGAAATCCAATGCAAAGAATGTTCCGAGGGTATTGCTTGAGCGCTTTGGATAGTTCTGAGACACTGTTGGTGTCACTTGTCCAAGGGTGAGAAAATTTTTCTTTTTTTTTTTTTTAATAATCTTAGTTTATTAGGGTACTAAGGGTTTCACGGGCTAAGGGTGAAAGTGGGGTAATATCATTGGTTTCCACACTAATATAATCATTTTGCCTGTATTCTGGGTTAGGGAGTAACAAGGGAAAGCCCACCTTACCTTCCACCATACCCCATCCCCAACATGAGGCGCGCTCAAGGGTCCTGCTCATTACAGTTTGTAGTTCATCTGTTCTGGATTGCATGCAATCTCTCTGTTCAACGTAATGAAACATTCTGTGTCCATGGTGACAATCTTGATGGATGGGGTTCCAAGATCCGCAGTTCAGTTCGAGAAATATCCCAAAGAAACTTCATCTGAGTGATCCCAGATCTGATTCTTGAGTGAGTTTGCAGCTAACAGTGACTCCAACATGTAGTCACACCAATAGCTTATGCATATGGTGGTCGTGCGATTACTGGGTCCATTTGCTTCCAGCCTGTTTCCCTTGCGAACAAATGGGTGTGTAGTCCAGCTCGATTCTACATTCATACCTCGGTCGTCATGCATACCAGTTGGAAGCTGAGCAGCTAGTTGAGGCGATCCCAAACCCCTACCAGTCTGCCCTACCCTGGTTCCATGCTTGCAGTATGCACTGCAGGCTGGTCCAGTATGACCCACATCCAAGTAGCTCTCGCACGTCATGGACATTGAAGCCTGGTTCAACCCAACCACCTATTATCCAGCCCTTACACCACTGGCAGGTGCCTTTCTGTCATAGCCACTGCTCTAGCTGGGTTTCGTTGCTGTCAGTGAGGGTGGTAACCCTGAGGGAGGTGCCACTATTTACCTACTTGGCACACCACTCAGATTAAGCACTCTCCAGGTAGGTTTTGGAATTTGACTTGACAGAATTAGTCCCAGTACACCTCTGCCAGCGTAATGCTTGTGGAAAGCCCAACACCCCTCATCAATCTATTTTAATTGCTACCAGTCAGAACAGTCAGCTCTCGTGAGGCCCACAGGTTGCTTGGCCTGCCTAGTCGGATGTGCCCCATCCATATGCAACACTTTCAGTGGAAGGAGTTATCCAGCAGGGGGTGCCCAGTTCCCTGTTGCTTTGTCCTCCTGGATTGTCTCATGTGCTGGTTGTGTGGGTGCTGCCACATCTGGTCGGCTCATATCAAATTGGGGTTATTGTTGTGTACTGTTTGTGTTGAACGAACTGGCTCGACCACACTCTGTTTGGGGTCGTGAATTCACGAAGGTAATGTGAAAACAGATTCAGCTGGTTGCCTTCCACCATGACATGTGTAGCAGTGGATAAATTTTATGCTATTTTGGGTTATTCCCTATTGTGCTTTTGCGCTTTACTGTGGGTCTGTGTCCTGCAGAGAAGTTGTCCGGGCTCCTCACCAGAAACCTCTCCCAATGGCCAGTTTTCGCACATACAGTGGGTCCATGAGCAGCATACTCAGTTCTCCTGACTAATCTAGGAGAAACAGTGGCTTTTCCTGCCTGGCCTCCTGACCCAAAGCTGGAATTTGTTGTTGGATATTTTCAACCAGATGCTCTTCCATACCCCTACCAAGCTCACACATGGGTTCAGTAAGGGTGAGACCTCACTAGTCTGTCACACAACCCTCCCGGTCCTCCAGAGCACAGATGGTGTTGGAATTTGGCTGGCTTGGATGCTTCCCATCCAGTCCCACAATTGTTGCCAAGTGTAGATTACAATCGTATTGATCAGAATGTAG